TGTCGACTTAAGTACCATGAGTATACACAGCTCGCTCTCTCTCTTTCTCTGACTCGCTCTCGCTCTCTTCCTCTCTCGCTTTATCTCCATCATTCGCGCTCGTCATGTCTCCCGCATCCTCTCTCTTTCTGCGGAGGGAAGGCTAGAGCGGGGGGATGGGAATCTAGTAAGGAACGTGAGCAGCGGGAGAGGGAGGGCAGAGAGTGACGAGGAGGAGTGGAAAAAGGCTGAAGAGGAAGCGGAGGAGGAGCAGGCGGAGGATCTGCTTCTTCTGGATCGCGGACTGCTGGCGGACCAGTCGAGGTTGGGCCAAGGTCGTATCCACCACCTCGGGAACGCGTGCCCACCACCTGGGGGGCCGATCTTCTCGGACCTCGGGAGGCGATGGAGCAGCGGATCCTGTTGGGGCCCCCTTGGGGCCCAGCCATAGTCGGATCCACTGCCCCGGGGTCCTGGAACGTCGGCCCTCCTGGGCGATGGACGGGCGCAAGACTCCGTCCCGTGAGATGGCGACGACGACGACGACGGTGACGACGACGACGACGACGACGACGACGACGACGACGACGACGACGACGACGACGACGACGACGACGGCGGCGGCGGCGGCGGCGGCGGCGGCGGCGACGACGACGACGACGACGGCGATGACGACGACGCCGCTGCGGGGCAGCGGGCGGGGGGAAGCGGGGAGGCCCGGGGGCTCTGCCGGCCCGGCCGATGCCGCGCGCGGTGGCACTGGCGCACTGCAGTCTGCGTCTGCCCCTCGGGCCGGACGAGCGGGGGTGATTGTCGAAGACCGATTTCTGACCACATCCACCTCTGGATCCTCGATTCTATGATAGGCCCTCAGGGGTGGAAGAGGGTAGTTGTTCCTTCCCCTGGGGCGGGGAAACTGCCCACGTCCACCTCTGGAAACCGCTTTTCGCAAGGCACCTCGGGAAGTGGGTGTGGTCAGAAATCGGTCTAGAGTGGGGAACAAGGGCGCCCTCGAGGGTGCGAAGTTATTCGCGCTTCGCAGTTCGGCTCCGATTCCTCCTCAGCCTCCTGTTCGCCCCTGGGAGGCGGCGCGAGAGCGCGAAGTTGTTCGCGCTTCGCGCAGCGCGAAGCCCGAAGTTGGGAGCCATTGGGAAAGGGGGGGTGAGGAAATTTGCCGCGTGCAGCCGGTTTCGGCCCCGCCGCTGGGGCCCATTTCTCGATGCATGGCCGCCTCCGGCGCCAGGAGGCGCCGGGAAGATCAGCTGCGTGAGCTGGTTCTCAACTTTCCCTTCGCTATCCCCCCCTTTCGCCCGGCCCGAGCCCCGTCCGCCCTCTCCACGATGAGGATCAGGAGGGGAAAAAACACCCACAGACAAACCCCAAACACACACACACACACACACATCGTCGATTCCAAGGGAGATATTGGAAACTGTGGGAAGCGGGGGGGGAAGACAAAAGCCCAGAGGATCTGGGCACATGGGGGGATCCAGTTCGTTTGTGTCTACTGATTTGTGTGTCCCAGGGCCCCTTCCGAGGAGGGGGGGGGATCTCGGGCGTGGCAGGGAGGGAGCATCCAGGGAGAGGAGAGACAGAAGGGGTCCCGAGAGGAGCCAGGGAGGACCCAGGAAGAGAGAGAGAGAGAGAGAGAAGGAGAGGGAGGGAGTGAGAGGGCGAGCAGGGGGGCCCAGAGAGGATTCAGGGGGGAGGGGCGGGAAGGGGAGGAGCCAAGGAAAGGGGAGAGAGAGGGTGTCCAAGGGAGAGGTACGATCCGAGGCGAGGGGGAAACGGGGCGAATGGGGAGGGGAAGGAAGGGGGGGAGAGAGGGAGAGAGGGAGAGGGGGGGAGAGAGGAAGAGGAAAAGTAGTCCAACAATAGTCTGGGGGATATTTTTGGAGCATGTTTTGACCATTTGGGAGTATGCTTTGAGTATTTTTCATTTTTCGTGGAAAATCCCCCGGTGGGGGGACGCGCCCGACTTAACACAATCTGCGAAGAGGCGCGATCGCGCGTTTCGTTTCCCGTCCCCGCCAACCCCCACACTTTTCCCAGTTGCTGGACTGTTTTGTGCTTGAAGTAGATGGCACTCCAACGGAACGAGCACGGGTTCGCCTTCTCTCGCCGTCCTCGTATTGTTTATTTTTGTTTCGTTTCATCCTCCTCCACCCCCTCGTTATCTTCATAATCTTCATCATTAATCAATGTCTTCCAGTTCCCAATCACCCCGTAGTTCCGCTCAACCTTTTCCTCCCCACACGATCCTACCTCCTCGAGTTCCTGCTAACCCTCTCACTCCCACCATCCTTATCCCCCATCTTTCTCCTCATCATCCACCCCATCGCCCTCATGATCCCTATACGCTTCTGGAAACTACCATGTCTCCCCATCCCCCCACTCGTCTCACCCTCGTCCTCGTTCTCCTCACCCCCCCTGCTCTTTCCGATCCTCATCCACCCTGATCCTTCTCACCACCCCACAGCATCGTCACTGTCCCCACACTCGGGCCGGACGAAAGGGGAGGATTGGGAAAGGGGGGGTTACGAAATTTGCTGCATGCAGCTGGTTTCGGCTTCACCGAGGGGCCCATTCCTCGATACATGGCCGCCTCCGGCGCCGGGAGGCGCCGGGGAAATCGGCTGCGTGAGCTGATGCTCCAACCCCCCCTTTGCTATCCCCTCCTCTCGCCCGACCTGACGCACATCCCTGGACCGTCACCTCCCTCCCCCTCCATCGCTCCCTCCCCCCCTCCTCGCGCGGCCGCGAGCCGGCGGCCTCCATATGTGCCGACGGCTCGAGCCCGGCCCCGCGCGCAGACGCACGGCGGGCGAGCGGCGCGTGCGCGCCTCCCGGGTCGCACGGCAGGCCTGTCGGCCCCCCCCCGCGAGGCCCAGCAGATGGCGGACGCCGCTTCCCCGCGCAGGTCGACGGGAGAGGCTCGTGCACGGCTCGATCGGTTCAGGGGAGGAGGAGGAGGAGGAGGAGGAGGAGGAGGAGGAGGAGGAGGAGGGTGATCAGGAGGAGGAGGAGGAGGAGGAGGAGGAGGAAGAAGCGAGCGAGAAGCCGTGGCTCCCTGCGGAGCGGCGCATGCAAGCACGAGGAGACGGAGGAGGGCTGTCTGCAACCCGGCCGATTCCAGGATGTTTGCCCACGATTTCGCGCAGCATTTATTGACTGTCAGGCACCCCCCAGGGCGATGCCCCTCCTGCATGGCTGGGTCTCGATCCAATGTATCAGGTTATATGTGCAATCGACTCAATCGCTCTGCGATTCAAGGCAGCCATGAGGAAGGTCGCGGCACGCCAGTCGCGGGCGTCGGTACATGAACACGTCGCGTTCTAAGAAGAGGTCTGGTACGAAAGGGGCAGGACATGTGGTGCGGGCTAGGGCTGGTGCGTCTTTCGTTTACTCCACATGCGTCGGTTGCATGTTTCAATCTGTGTGTTGTGCCGCTGGCACACTGAAGCAGACGTGCTACTCCCCTTCATACTTGTTCGTCGTCTTCATCCTTTATGCGACCATCCTGTTCCTGTCTCGGGAACATATTTGGAATTTCGCCAGCTCCCAGGGCAGCACCAAGGTAAGCGGAGGTTCCACGAGCTCTCCCTTGAAGCGGCGACTCGATTGGCAGGTCGTTGGCTCGATGGTTCGAACGTATCGACGCCCTTCAGACTGCTAGGCATTCTCGAGGGCAGACCTTGGAGGGACGCACGACCAGCTATGAGAGCACATAGACATCAGACTTAAGCACTAAAGGCCTCGGGGACACGTGTGGATGTTCGGTTGGCCTCCACTTTCGCTGGTGGCGGCGGGTTTCAACATTCATTACGTCGCGGCCCCATGTTGGTGTGGGTTTGGTTCGTCTCGTCTCCAGGCCAGACATGCAGTTGCACTTGTGTTGCCGAAAGCATTCCGGAGTGGATCCATAGTTGCGGTCCCAGTTGGGCGCGCCACCAACGCAGCCGAGGTCAGATTGCGGTGTTCGGGTGTTCTGGTCGGTGGAGTTGTGGGTGCGGACGGACGCAGGTACCCCAGATTTCGTAATAAAGGGAGGGGGGTCTCATTTCGGGGGGGGTCTCTTCCAGGCTATCTTGGAGGGCCTGGGGGTCTGGGGACGATGTGTTGGAGGGTTCTCCCACGGGGGAGGTCTGAAATGGCTCGTCTTGGAGGGTCCAGACCCCCTCCCTGTTATTACGGAATCTGGGGTACGCGGGCAGCAGCAGTGTGCGAGGCCATGGCGGAGGGCAACGGATGGGCAGGTCTCGAGCTATGTCATCGCTGCCGAACGCCACCGCCGTATATCCTTTCACGAGGAGACCTGGCTCTTGTTTGGACGACGGGCGCTTGACACACACACACACACACACACACACACACACCCACACAAAAAAACACACACACACACACACACACAGCGCCGCGGAAGGACTCAACAGGTCGAACGTGATAGGGGCAACGCGCAGAGCGCCTTACACGCAGCACGCACACGCTGTTCGTTTCTTCTGACGCGCCAGTGATTGAGACCAGCGGAGCACGTTGGGGAGACCCGCAAAGCGAATCACTCTCAATCCGCATTGTGCCGACATGGCCTTCCACAGCCCTTGCATCCGTTCCGCGGCCACCGCAGCACGTCGCATCCCGGTGGCGGGAGCCAAGGGTCAAGCAGTGGCCAAGCATCTTGGCTCGCCTGTGGGCCCACCACATAATGTTTTTAGAACCTGCTGTGGCTTGCACGGAATAGTATTAAATCATGTCTGGCTTAGACCGTTTTGGTTTAAGACATCGTGCTTATGTTCTAAGAATTAGTTTTGTTTTCAGGACATTATCTTGTTCTAAGCACATGTCGTGGTAGGCCTATCGGAATGCCGGGACGGACGGTCTCTGCTCAAGAGAGGCCCCGCGAGAAGAAGATGAGCGGCCACCGCAGCACAGTGCAGCCCAGTGGCGGGAGCCAACGGGGGGGTTTACGGTGGTACAGCCGGACCGAGGTATAAGATCGAGGTCGGTTCGGGGAGGGTATTTTCGTGTTCTTCGTGTGTGTTGGATGTTCTTGTGCATTCTGGGGAGGGTGCCTTCGGATGGTCTGTGTGTTTCGGCTGGAGGAGGGTCTTAAGTACTGGATTCAATATTTGGTATCGTCTTAAACGGCGCGCCAGGCATCGAAGCCATCTGTTGAAACAACATTGCCTGCTTGTGCGACAAGCCAGTAATCCAACGGCCCCGACGACGAGACAATCTCCAAACCTTCTCAGTTTGACGACCTGGACATCATCTGGCTGCCTGCGGCAAACCCCGCCACCGTGGATGTCGAACAGCGTTGCAGTAAGGAGGATGACTGTAGAAACAGCGCAATGGCGACGAGCGGTCTGCATTGGGGCGGGTCGTGATCCCGACCTCGTCTTCGTCCGCGCGGAAGGGAGGAGGAGGAGGAGGAGGAGGAGGAGACAATGAGGATGAGGAGGAGAAGGTTGCTTGGGGCCTTCTTGGAGCTTCCTGGGGGCCTTCTGTGAGCTTCCTGAAGGCTTCTTGGGGGCCTCTTCGAGGTCTCATGGGGCCTCTTGGGTGCCGCTTGGGGCCCGTTGGGCCGTCTCACGGGACTCGTTGCCCGTCTGATGCTTATGGACGCCGCATTGGGGGCCTCTCTAGGCCGCGTAGGTGCCTTCTTGGAGCGGTTTCTGGGGGCTCCTTGGGCGGTCTGCGGGTCCTCTTGGGCCCGTTTCGGACCCTCTTGCGGGCCTTTTGGGCTAATTTGGAGGCCTCCTGTCTGCACGAACGAAATGGGCACGGAAAGAATGGGTACAATGCGCAACAGCTGATCTTGTTCATTTTGAACAGGCCTCGTTGTCGGTGTCGCCGCGGCTTGTGTCCATTCGAGACAGAAGGCCGCCCGCCCAACAGCGGCCGCTGTTGGTTTGGGACAACATTTGCTGTTGGGCAGTGTGCCCAGTTCTTCCGCACCCATTTCAGGCGTCCAAATCTTGGAGGCTTCTTGGGCCATCTTGGGTGGTCGGAAACCCGAACAGACGAGAACCTTGAAATCGTTAAACAAAACCTTGGGACAATCAGGAGTGTTGGCCTCGTCGGGTTCTCCAGGAGGGCGTCTTGGAGACCTCTTGGGTCGTCTTGGGGGCGTCTTGACCTGTCTTGGGGCTGTCTTTGGAGCCTCCTGAGCCATCTTGGGCCATCGTGGCGTCATCCTCGTTGCCTTGAAAGCCGTCCTGGAGGCCATGAGGCTCCCAAGAAGGCCTCAATACAAGTCGAGAGGCCCACAAGATGGCCCTAACAGGTTCCCAAGAGGCCCTCCAGGGGAGCCAGAGGTGGCCAAAACCATGGATGCTCCGAAAGTGTTCGAGGAATGTTGAGGTTCTGGCGTGTTTGGGTGACCGCCCAAGGCAGCCAAAGAGGCGTCGTTGGGCCGTCTTGTTGCTCTCTTGGAACGCTTCAAGGCCGTCTTGGGGCCCTCTCGGGGAGTTCCTTGAGTGATCTTTGTCTCATCTTGGGTCGACTTGCGGCCCTCTTGGGGGCCTCTGGGGCTGCCTTGGTGCTATCTTGGAGATCTCTTGGAAGCCTCTTGGACGCGTCTTGGGTGGTCGGAAACCCGAAAAGGCGAGAACTTAATAATCGTTCAAAAGCCTATGGCAAATCAATGGTTGTGGCCCCTTTGGGCCCTCCAGGAAGGACTCTTGGAGCTCTCTCGGCCGCCTTGGGGCCTCTCGGGCCGACTTGAGGCCTTCTTGTGGTGTCTTGCGCCGTCGTGAGGCTCTCTTAAGAGTCCCTCGAGCTGTCTTGGGCCATCTTGAGCCGTTGTGTTGTCGTCTTGGTTGTCTTGGAAGCCGTCTTGGAGGCCGTTGTGGCCGACTGGAGGCCGAAGAGAGCGCAGGGAAGCAACTTCAGGGGGGCGACTTGTTTGACCCCCGTCGTGAATTGGCGGGAGGGGGAATCGGCCGTGGAAACTAATTCTAGACGCTTCGCATAACCCCACCAGCCCATCCAGAAACGATGCCCACAGCAAGTGCCTCGATCAGGGAAGTGGGCAACACACAGAGAAAGGGTCCCCCAGTGGAGGCCTCTTGGAGCGTCTTGGGGGCCTCTTGGCGGTCCCGGACGCCTCTCAGAGCGTCGTGGGTGCCTCGGAGAGTTTCTTGGGGCCTCTGGGGGTCTCTTGGGGGCCTCGTGGAGGTCTCTGGGGCGCATGTTGGGGCCTTCTGGGACCTCCTGGGCGCCACTTGGGGCCCTCTTGAAGCGCTCTTGGGAGCCTTGGGAGCGCTCTTGGAGCTCTCTTGGGCCATCTTGGAGTCATCTTGAAGCCTCGGATGGCCATCGGAAGCGAAAAGGCGAGAAAGCCCAACACATTGATTTCCTTAGGGTTAGGGAATGATTTGGGCCTCTTCGGGCAATTGGAGCCGTCTTGAAGCGGTCTTGGGGCCTCTTGGAGCATCGTGGGAGCCATCGTGAGGCATCTTGGGATATCTTGAGCCATATTGGAGGTCATCTTGGGCTCTCCCAGGCGCTCGTGGAGTCATCTGAAGCAGTCCCCCCCCCAGGAGGCCCAAATGTGGGCAAAACCTAAGTAACATCTATGATTTTGGCATTCTCGCCAAGGCCACTTGGAGCGCCTTGGGTGCCTCTGGGGGGTCTGTTGGGGCCTCGTGGGGGTCTCCTGGGAGCCTCTTGGGGGCATCCTGGGGGCCTCTTGGGGGGTTTTGGGGGCCACATGTGGCAATCTTGGGGCCATATCATGGTCTCTTGGGTCCTCCTGGGCGCCTCTTGGGGCCACCTTGGAGGAGATCGATCACAGGAGGGGGTGCTCAATTAGCCCCCCTCCCCCTCAGGAGGCCAAAATGAGCCAACACCCTAGTACAACAAATGAGTTTGGCTTCCTCGCCGAGGCCGTGTTGGACGCTCCAACGCGTCGCGGAACCCCCGTCCAGGTCCAGGGGAGGGGGTGGGGGAGGGGTCAAGACGCCCTCCCCTCCCGCAAGCCGCTTCGCTCACTCCCACCCGCCCTCCCAACACATACGTAGCACCCGAGCTTGGCCCGAGCCGCAGCACATGCAGCAGTCGTCGTTGGATGGGAAGCTACTGGGGGCCAATCCGCCGCCGCCGCCGCCGCCTCCGCCGCCGCCGCCGCCCGCCGCTGCCGCCGCCGCGCCACCGCCGCCGCCGCTGTCCGCCGCCGCCGCCGCCGCCGCGCGCGCGCCGCCGCCGCCGCCCCCGCTGCCGAATCGCCGCTGCCGCAGCCGCTGCCGCCGCTGCCGCCACCGCGCCGCCGCCGCCGCCGCCCCCGCCGCCCCCGCCGCCGCCACCGCCGCCGCCACCGCCGCAGCCGCCGCAGCCGCTGCCCCCGCCGCAGCCGCCGCCGCCTCCGCCGCCAAGTGTACTCTGTATTGTTTTTTGACAGGGATGGTGGGGGGAGGCCGCATCGGGTTCGCTGCGCATGCTGAGAATTTGGAGGCAGAGTGTGTTTTGTATTGTTGTGTACAAGGGATGGTGGGGGGGTGCCCTCATCGACTCGGGTTGGCTCCCAGTTCCCGGTCGCCTGGGGGAGGGGGCGTATATTAATAGGGAACAGTGATAAACCCCTCGCCGAAGGGGTAGAGGAAACACCCTAAACCACCTACGCCCAGAGGGCTGGTGGGATTAAAAAGACTCCCAGAAGGACCACGGGGCCATTCTGACACGCCCACTCCGCGCAGGCACGGTGGCGGATTTCAGCCGGGGTGTTCCAGAGTTTTTGCACGCCGCAGGAATATTATGTTAGATGCATTGTTTTAGTCAGGCGCCCCGTTTCGCATGTGCACGATGTTGATAATCATATCGTGTTTTTTTTGCGCGCGTTGTTGCACAACACACCTTCACAACAATAGGTGATGAGCAGACCACCGAGATACGTGTTGATGCTCATTCGGGTTGGACAATTATTCAGAACGTGTAACGGCGGACTGCCAGCTTATAAGTCTACGGCCTAATAAGAGGCCGGTAGCAAGACATTCCGGGTGGCCCGAATCGCCAGTCCGTTGAGAGCGGCTTGCACGCAAGTGGAGGATGTGCATGCCAATGCTGTGCCGTACCACTAATCATCATTATTGCAGTTGCCACCCTGGCATTATTTGTCTGCTTGTGCACATGCATCATCATGACGGGCATGACGCATTCAAGCAGGCAGGGTGGAGCACGCACATTTGAGCCATGCAAGCCAGCTGCGCTCGGCTTCCAGAGTTTTCGCCGAAGCCGCGCCCAGCAGTATGCCGGCTGCATTTGCAAATGAAAGTGCACCCATGTATTGTGACGCAGTAGTATGGGAAGTCGTTTGTGCACAGTCCAACTTGCAGTGCCATCGGGAGTTCTTGTCGGCCAGTGCACGAGCAGCTCGTGGAGCTCTTCACACGTGAGGTACTGAGCAGCGGCCAGAAGCCGCCTTACAGTGAGAATGGCAAGCGCTACACCCCACGTCGGGAGCCGAATGAACTGTCTCCTAGCACGTCGTCGCCGCTGCTCCGCGCCGGAAGACCCATGTGCGGCGGCGGCCTCCGAGACGGCCAGGCCGCCAGCGCCCTCCTGTGGCCTGCGCTGCCGTCGCCGACGGCCGACGTGCAGCGATCTCTCGCACGGCCGCCGCTTGCATGGCTGAGGCCTCGCCTTCATACGAAGCCCCAGCATTGCCTGGGCCAGGAAGCAGCAGCGTGACTCGGCGCCCTAGTTCGGCAACCCAACCGGCTCGCAGAGTTCGATCCTACAGCTGTCGCAGCAGTAAGTGTATTTGTCCCGTGGGACCTCCATGGGGGTGCACAGGCGTGGCGTTGGCCAACCAGTGCGGCGTCGCGGGAATTTGATTCCAGACAAACAGTGGTGTTGTTCAAAATATATCATCTCAGCTCTGGAGCCTCTACAAATCCAGATTATGCTGGCGTTGGTAACCTTGCCAGGAAAGTACCACCCGCCGAAGCAACAAAGCACGATTGAAACATCAGAGGTGAGGGGGCGAGATCGAAGTGGAACGGAGAGCCCCCCTACCGGGAAATCGATTTCGGTTTCGTGTTCGTGCGTGCCGGCTGAGGCGCGGCCAGACCAAATGTTTCTTGTCCGGGGGCCGGTGGCGCGCGGTGTCCGCCAGTGTCCCGCCTCCGGCTGAGGCGCGGCTGAACCAAATGTTCTTTTCCGGGGGCCGGTGGCGCGCGGTGTCCCGCCGGCGTCCCGCCGGTGTCCCGTCGGTGTCCCGATGATGATGATGATGATGATGATGATGATGATGATGATGATGATGATGATGACGACGATGACGATGTTGATGATGATGATGATGGCCATGGTGTTGATGATGATGGTGTCCCGATGATGATGATGATGTTGATGATGTTGATGTTGTGGATGATGATGGTGTCCCAATGATGATGATAGATGATAGATGATAGATGGTAGATGATGATGGTGATGATGATGATGGTGATGGTGATGTTGATGTTGATGATGAGATGATGATGATGATGACGATGACGATGATGATGATGATGGAGATGATGATGTTGATGATGATGATGATGGTGTCCCGATGATGATGATGATGATGATGATGATGATGATGCTCTTGATGATGATGATGGTGATGGTGTCCTGATGATGGTGATGATGATGAGGATGATGATGAGGTGGTGATGATGATGTTGATGACGGTGGCCCGATGATGATGATGCTGATGTTGATGATGATGATGATGGTGTCCCGATGATGATGATGATGATGATGATGATGGTGATGGTGATGATGGTGACGATGATGATGATGTCCCGATGATCATGCTGATGATGATGATGATGATGATGATGATGATGTTGCTGATGATGGTGATGGTGTCCCGATGATGATGAGGTTGATGATGTTGTTCATGATGATGATGAGATGATGGTGATGGTGATGATCCGATAATGATGATGCTGATGATGATGATGATGATGATGATGGTGTCCCGATGATGATGCTGATGATGATGGTGACGATGCTGTTCGCCCCGATGATGATGATGATGGTGATGATGATGATGATGTTGATGATGATGGTGATGATGATGATGATGATGATGATGGTGATGGTGATGATGGTGACGATGATGATGATGATGTCCCGATGATCATGCTGATGATGATGATGATGATGATGATGTTGCTGAGGATGGTGATGGTGTCCCGACGATGATGAGGTTGATGATGTTGTTCATGATGATGATGATGAGATGATGGTGATGGTGATGATCCGATAATGATGATGATGCTGATGATGATGAGGGTGTCCCGATGATGATGCTGATGATGATGGTGACGATGCTGTTCGCCCCGATGATGATGATGATGATGATGATGATGGTGATGATGATGATGTTGATGATGATGGTGATGAGGTGATGATGACGCTGTTCCGATGGTGATGATAATGATGCCGATGATGTTGATGACGATTATGTGGATGATGATGATGATGACGATGATGATGACGTCGATTGTGAGATCGATTGTGATATCGATAGTGAGATCGATAGTGAGACCGAATGTGAGATATATTGTGAGATCGATAGTAAGATCGATTGTGAGATCGATCGAATGAAATAGATCGAGTGAGATCGATTGTGAGATCGATCGAGTGAGATCGATCGAGCGAGACCGATAGTGAGATCGATAGTGAGATCGATAGTGAGACAGATCGAGTGTGACGTTGGTTCCTCCCCCCCCCCGAACCTCCTTATCACCCGAAGGGTGGTGGTATAGGCAGTGTATTCCCTGGACGAGGAAACGAATGTTCACTTATCCCGAGTGCCGCATGCTGCCCAACAGTAGCTACATCAAAAATGATCCCGTGGGGAGGAGTGGCGAGAATGATAGGCAAGAGTAGGGGAGATGTGGGAAGCAAAGCTGTGGTCTCAGGCGAGGGCAGGACGAGGGTGGAGGGGGGGGAGCGAGTTGGAGGGGGGAGGTGGAGGGGGAGGTTGCAGAATGGGGGCAGGAGATTGGAGACCAGGCGAACGCGTGGGGGAGAGGAAGTCGGAGGAAAAGGAGGACCCGGACCAGGAATTGGGCATCCACTCCGACGGAGTCCTCGCTGTGGTCAGCCCCACGCCACAGCTTTGTCGAAGCGATGTGCTGTGTCGGAGGTTAGGCTGGGTCGGTTGGTCAGTTCCATGGGGTGTAGGCGTGAGGTGCGCGACGGACTGCTCGTGCGCGTGTCCCTTGCGCATGGATCGTGTAGGTCCTGAGGCGTCAGAGCCAGAGGACCCTTGCCCCGCCATCTTCTTTGTGTCAGTGCCTCGCAGTGTCAGCCCTGGACACATGAGCATGAGGCCCTGTCAGTACCCTGCACGCTCCGTGGATATTGCAGTCCAAGCTCTTTGTCCCAGGGTGATGGGATAATGAGCAACGTTGTGACCAGTCCGCAGGGTGCCAATGCAATCACAGGCTTCATGAGACTCGAGCCATCGCTCCTGGGCCCTGTGAACACGCGCATGTGAGCTTCCTTCCGTCTTGTGGTGTGTGTGTGTGTGCGGTGGAGAAGGGTGTAGCGGAGGAAGGTGCAAATACATCTTCAGGTAAGATGGAGGACAGAGGACAGCATTTACCGCGAGGTGGTATTGCACAATTCTATGTTGTTCTGGTATCGCAGTAATTGAGAAACGCGCTATCGGAAGGCCAGACAACCGAGGAGGGCTGGAATGCTCCCGTTCTTCGTGAATATGCGACTTCCACCTTGAGGATGAAAAGGGCTCCGCGTGAGGGCGAGAAGACATCGCCGATTGGAGTTTACCCATTGGTCAGAATCTGGAAAGCTCACCTCTCGCCACGCTGAGAACTTGCGCCTCAGATTTCGAGAGGTTCGACAGTTGGCCAGCCAGATCGGAATCTCAAGGCTCACCGATCTGAACGATGTCGCGAGTCGGAGGGCCCGGGTGCCCAGATCGGCGTTCGATTTGGTGGGAGTGGGCGATTTGCGAAGGGCGGAGGGAGACGGTGGCGTGCGGAGACGGCTGTTCGTGATTTTGAGCAGCAGCACGGGCGAGGCGAGGAGTTGGAGGGGAGGGCGCGGAGGGAGGTGGGGCCGCGACGGGAAGAGGCCCGGGAGGAGGGTGATGGGGAACACGTTATGGTTGCCAGCGGGGCTGCTTGCGGGCTCGCCCACGACCTATGCGCCGGCTGTCTGGCAGAACCTCGTTCCTGCAATCCTCGGCAACCTCGTCGCTGGGGCCATCATCATCGCCTGTAGTTTAGACGAGCAGTTCTGCAGCAGGAAGTGAGGATTGCGTGCTGGCTGCGGGTACTCGACAAGAGCTTTTGGCATGCCCTGGTACTTCCAGCTAGACAAACACAGATCAGATATTCAGCACGCTGTGTCATGAACTTTGAATTCAGCGCTCGTCATCGGAAGTGACTGCAGGAGTGAGCAATACGCAATGACGTGTCTCATCGAAACATAGAGTGCCCTTTTTGTCCCGTAAGTCTACTGCATGGTGAAGCCGGCAGTGCTCGGATACAGTCGGGGCGCTGACTAAGGAACCCTTTTCGTTGGGGAGGAGCTCGGTGTTCCTTGATTGTTTTACAGTTTGCCTTGGGTTTTCCATGGGGAACCGAAGTTTACGTTAAGGGAAACAGGGGCCTCGTTCCTTATTGAATCGCTTCGCTCATTCCGCCGGCCCGTGATATGGCATCGCTGGTTTTTGTCTGTGTGTTCGTTGCCCATGTTGCGCTCTTGGGGGCGGGTGTCGTTCGGACGCGTTGCGTGGGGAGTTTTGATGGTGAAGCAGTTCCCTGGGGGTCGTCTCTCGATGGGGCGAAATAGAGTCGTCGTCAAGATGCTTCTTTGGGGGGCCTCTTGGGGTCTGTTGAGAGGCCGTTCGGGGGCGCCTGGGAGACATGTTTGAAGCCTTCTGGGGCTTCTTTTGGGCCTCCTGGGAGTCTCCTGGGGCCTCTTGGCGACATCTTGGGGCCTCTTGGAGGCCTCTTGGGGCCTCTTTGGGACCTCCTGGGCGCCTTCTGGGACGGAGGGCTCCATTTTTGAGTTCTCGGTATCCCTCCTGAGTCCCTCTTGGGCCCGTCTTGGGGCCTCTTGGTCCGTCTTGGGCGGCACTTGGGCCGTCTTGAGGGCTCTCTTGGGTCGTTTCGGCGCCGTCTTGGGAGCTTCGTGGGCCGTCTTGGAGCGGTCTTGGGGGCCTCTTGGGCCGTCTTGGAGCGTCCGGAAGCCGAAAAAGCCAGAACACAAAAAACATCGAAAAAACCAATGAAAATCAACGATTTTGGCCTCTTGGGGCTCTCTTCGGAGGCCTCTTGGAAGGCTCTTGGGGCGTCTTGGAGGCCTCTTGGGCTGTCTTGGGGGCCTTTTGGGCCGTCTTGGGGTCATCTTCGGCGTCTTCGAGCGCTCTTTGGGCGTCTCGGGGGCCTCTTGGGCAGTCTTGGGGGCCTCTTGGGGCACTCTGAGCGCGCTCTGGGGAGCCTGAGAGGCCGCACCCAGAAGGAAAACCATCTCTGAGTAGACTCGGTCGGGCGGCGGTCGGGCGGCGGTCGGGCGGCGACCGGGCGGCGACCGGGCGTTGGTCGGGGTACTTTTCGCCGGGGGACCCCCAGGGGCCGCCCCGCGCGCGCGAACTAGAAATACTGTGAATACTGTTAACCAGTTACCGGAGATCTTAGCACGCCCTGGCCCGTTGGGCCGGCGAATTTCGGGTTCCTCAGGTCAACGCCCCGACTGTATGTCTGCGGGTATCTCAGCGGGCGAAGAACGGTACAAAATAAACTGTTTTGCTGTCGGGGGTTCCTGTCCCTGGTCGGTTGGAAAGTTTATATATACCCCTACGGTGCCACCGTAAGGGTATAAACTTTCAAGCCGCCCTGGGACAGGCGCCCCCGACAGCGAAAAAGTTTATTTTATACCGTGCTTCGCCTGTTAAGTATCGGCCTTCCCCCGGCCAGCGTTCATCGCGCATGGCGCATCGCCCCTTCCGTT